GGTTAATGTGGTTAATGGTTAAAGTGGTTAATGTGGTTAATGGTTAATGGTTAAGGCATTGGTTTAGCAGCCAAAGGTCTGTGGGTTCCATCTCTGCACCTAACAACTAATTGAATCAGTAAAGATAAGTTCTTTCAAAGAGGAGGGGAGTGGTGGTGCAGAGGTTAGAGAAGGTGGGCCTGTGATTGGAAAGTCACCGGCTCAACTCCCCAGACCAGCAACATCAAAATGTGGGTGGGATAGTTGAAGCACCCACAACTGCCTCCACCTTCATTTGCCCACCCTGGGCCCTTGAGCAAGACCCTTAACCCCCACCATTGCTCCCCCGGGCGCCCTAGATGGAGCTCTCTGCTCCACTCAGAGGCTGTGGGAGCTCGGTGTCTGTGGGTGAGTCAGGAAGAACCTCCGACACAAAAACAATCAAGTGTTCGTGCGACTTATTTCACTGTGGAGACCCCGAAGAAGTTTGTCAGACTGCACCGTTTTTCACGAGACACGGTCTCGATGTGCACGAGGGAGGAAAACGGCACAAATCAAACAAACTGTCAAAAAAAACAACTAAATAAATATGAAGCAACACGTTTGATTTTTTCACAGAAACCTAACACTGAAACGAACGCGTGTGGTTAGTGCTTCAGGAAATGAGCGTCCGTCCACTAATACCACGGGCCGCCACTGGTTTTTACAGAACCCGAAACTCCTCGGCTCCCATTCTGTACCGGGTCAAAGTTCAGAGGTCAGCGTCCGCCGAGCTCCAGCCGTGGGTCGGGCGTGGCAGCAGATTAAAGCGGAGTGATGAGATAACGGCTCAGATCGAGTCATGGCAGAAACCGGAGGAGATAAACCAGACGGGCTGATAAAGAACCTGGAGTTCTTTAAGGTCGTCTCTTGGGGTCAGAAGTCTAAAACCTGACGCACGACTCCGATTTATGGTGGAAAGAGGATTGCATAAATGTATTTATGATGTACAGTGAGCCTCCACCGCAGCTATAGGAACCACAGAAGCAGATCAGTAAACTGGGTCAGGGCTCTGTCACCCAGCTGAACTCACTGTGCAAAAGTTCTGATCCACCCCTCATCCCAAGCATACCATACCATACCATACCAACTTTATTTATAGAGCACTTTATGCACCCAACAGGACCAAAGTGCTTTACACAATTATATAATACAATACAATGATAAAGCAGTCCGACTCTTATCTGGGTCATCCTGTAAGCAGTCTTGTAAAAGTAAAGGACGCGTGCAAAACTGTGAATTTAACAAAAAAACCTAGAAAAAGTGCAAATGCAAAAAATGACGATCCAAAATCAGTTGTTACAATTTCTTTTCTTTCTTTCCAAAAAAGACAAACACGGTCTACACGGTCAGGAAGTAAGTCTTTTCACAATAAAGCTGACCTGAACTAATAACCTTACTGACTAACAATGACAAAAATTAAAAAAACTAAATATAGAAGCCAAATATTTCTTATTTATGGCTCTAACACAGACTTTGTGAAGGTTTTACGACTTTCTTTGGACTTGAGCTACTTTTCAGTCCAGGCTAGTTCCCGGTTCTGTTTTAAAGAACAGTTCTGTTCATTTATTGAACTGTGCAACTCCATCATTCACTTATTCAGGTGGGAGACGAAACTTCAGCTGAAACGATGAATACGGTTGGCTCTACACTTAAATTAACAAATGACCCCTTTTTAAAGACTTTTAAATCCTTTTGTTTTTACATGCTTCTTACAAAAATACAATTCTTTTATTAATTAGTCAAATAAAAAATGGACCAAACACAGGAAAGAAACCCAGATAAACAAGACTGATCCAGGTGCAGTTTCTATGGTCCAGACAGAGTTTCTATGGTTCTATGGTTAAGCAGCTTGGGGGGAGTCGACGGGGGAGAGGACAGTCCCCAGAAACTATCTTATCACCAACTACTTGGTCCACTGTAGGAGTGCACTGCTTAGTGAGGAAAACAGTTTGTTTGTGACTCCTCAGACTGATGAAGCCCTTCGGATGGAGGACGAAATGTCTCAACAAAACAGGAGCTGTCTAAATGACCTGACTGAACATTGTTGGATGTTTTACCTGGATTACTGAGCATGAACCTTGATGTTCTATGGTTCAGGTGTAGTTTCTATAGTCCAGGTGGTTTCTATGGTTCAGGTGTAGTTTCTATGGTCCAGGTGGTTTCTCTGGTTCAGGTGGTTTCTATGGTTCAGGTGTAGTTTCAATTAGGCCTGTCACAATAAATCAATTAATCACACGATAAATGAAAATTATTGACCTCATTTTCATTTATCAACTTTATCATTTCTTTGTGTCTTCATTGAAGACACTGGATGACAAAAAGACTCAACTCCGGTTATAAATAAATTATTTGTATTCAACACTAACCTCTTCTGTTTCAGCACCTGGAGTTCAGGAAACACATGAAAGTTGACACCATCATCTCTGACTGGCGTCCTCCAGAGGTAAAATGAGAAAATTAACAGAATTCATGGCTTGTTGTTCCTGAACAACAGAAACCAAAGCATGTCCCACATCCAGGTGATACAGAAGTATCTGTCTGGAGGGATGTGTGGCTACGACCGAGAGGGCAGCCCCGTCTGGTATGACGTGATCGGACCCGTGGATCCCAAAGGCCTCTTCCTTTCTGCCTCCAAGCAGGACTTTGTCAAGTCCAAGATCAGAGACTGTGAGATGCTGCAGAAGGAGTGTAACCTTCAGTCAGAGCGAGTAAGAGCACAGACAAACACCCCCAAACCCAAACACACCTTCAGAAATCTAAACTAATCGGATGTATGAGGCGTCCAGAGAACCAAAGCCAAATGTTAAAGCTGCTGCCAGAAGCTCGTTAGTCACCAGGGTAACCACATACCTGTGTCTCACTCCCTGACTGCAGAGTTAACGGACTAAAGTAAGCCTTAAGGCTCCAGTATACTCTGGCGGACATTTTTCCGCTCGGACTTGATGCGCACTGTCCGCAGAGGGTTGAGACTTCATACTCGAGTGTGCACCCTGAGCGGCTGCAGACCAGCTCTGCAGGCAAGGGGCGTTTACCTTTGGGACAAATTGAGGTCGCCGATTGGTCATTTGATGACACGCCTACTGGATTGATTGACAGGTCCAAAAAAAAAACCAGAGAGCTGGCAGCCTAAGCTGCAGTGGTGTTCTGTGTTTATATGTTGTTGATAAAAAGTTCTAAAAAAAAAAAAAAAAAAAAAAAGCAGAGAGCGCTGGCCCTGCAGCCCACACATCAGACCAGTCCACCAGGAAATCTCCAGACCCTCCTGCAGCCACGCTGAACCTGAGTTTAATTCGCTCTTGACAAATTCCTTCATTTTTCACCATTTCAGTCATGGCGTCAATGGAGGAGGAAGAGATCACTGCCTCTTGGCAAAAAACAAAAGAAAAGGCCAGATCAGGGATGAAGAAGAGGAATTTAATACGTTGGTGTCGCATACAAAACAATCCGTCGCCGAGCAGTTTACTGTGCAACACCGTGTACGTGGTCGTAAAAATTGATCTTTGCACGGACATGCTCTGCGGTAGGGGTGTAACAATACATCGATTTAAATCGATATATTGATTAAATGATTAATGATTCAGTTATATTGTGGCAAAACTAAAACATCAATTCATATTCTCATCTTTAAAATACGCTTTTATTTCGAAATTCCCAAGGCATGTCTGAGTAACCATTTCCGTGCGCGGCTGCACTCTGCGGCCGCCTCAGCAACATGGCAGATGAGGCAGAAAACACAGATAATGAAATTCACTCTCCTGCTGGATTTAAATCAACTCTGTGGAAATATTTTGATTCCAACAGAAAGACAGCTCAACAGACAAAACTTATGTCGTATGCAGCAGGTGCCAGTGTGAGTTAAAATACTTGTGCCGTATGCAACAGGTGCCAGTGTGAGTTAAAATACTTGTGTTGTATGCAACAGGTGCCAGTGTGAGTTAAAATACTTGTGTCGAATGCAACAGGTGCCAGTGTGAGTTAAAATACTTGTATCGTATGCAACAGGTGCCAGTGTGAGTTAAAATACTTGTGTTGTATGCAGCAGGTGCCAGTGTGAGTTAAAATACTTGTGCCGTATGCA